TGAGGATATAGAGGGGGAGAGCAACTTATCAGGTAGGGGTCGTGTGCTGAATGTTGGGGAGGAAGTTGGGGCGGTTTACGGACTACTTGATTTTTCCTCAATGGTCCTGCCGCGATGGCTAGAGCACAGACGATTAGAGAACGGGTGAATGCCCTAGGACTAAGCCTTGGAGAGGAGAGGGACCCGCGAGAGAGCGCAGAGGCGGTTTAAAGGGCTGAGTTCAAGTAGTCCGTTGACCAGGTTAGTTTTTGCTGTTTGTTCGATGAACAAAGGTAATGACGAGCGAATATACAATCAGGAACAGTAAAAGAATGGAAACAAAGCTGCAAAATCAAAGGTGCGACCGTTGCCCAGTGGGTCCTGCGACGAACCTCCCCAACCTTCCCCATCCCCGTCCCATCCCCAACATTCAGCATACGGCCCCAGAAATAGTCTAGCAGTAAATCTCACAAAACAAATATGAAAGCGCTCCTGAAAATCGTACTCGGCTCAAGTCCAAACCATCCAAATGGCAAGCCTCCACTAAGAAGTCATGCATAGAATGTGAAAGAACCGCGATGGCCTTTCAGCAAGCACAGAGCTATACTCGATATCCGAGAGTTGGGGTAGGGTGTCACCGGAAGTGACGTGCACTTGATAGAAGCTATGTGGATAAGCTGCTTCCAACATACATCGCTGGATATCAGCAAAGCATGCTGGCAACAGCTTATCCACGCAACTTCTATCAAGTGCACGTCACTTCCGGTGACACGCCTACCCCAACTTTCGGATATCGACTGTACAAGCGAAAAATGGATGCAATACCCAATTTCTCGATCATTGAAGTGATCCTCGTCCCAGTCATTTGGGTATTCTTTGATCAGCGTGAGTCTAGCCCACTGTTATTGAAACGAAAAGATTCAAGCGGAGGGTATAATGCCTTTTTGAGGTGCACCGCTAGTTTCTATTAAAGGAGGCACAGTAGTGAAGGGGAGCATAAAGTAACGTTGGAGCGAGGGAAGTGTGCTACGAGATACTCTCAACAATTTTGGAACTACTGGGTCAGAATCTTCCGTATTTTCATGCACATGCTCAGTCGTCGCTTTGATGGTGATTGATCCAAATGTTTCAGATCGGTTTGTGCCGATTTCATGTCCGTGATATCACAGGAGGACTGCAAACTATCGTCATATTCTCCCATCGAAGGGCTGGCCAAAACAAAATGCCTTGGCTGCGGTAAGCGGCGGATGTATTTTTGCTATGATTGCCGTGTTCTTTTGCCTGGCGTGTATTCCCCACAGGTTAAGGTATGTGATTCTTTGTGAAATTATTTTCCTCAGTTATCACGTCTTTTTTATTGAAGTCGTTTTCTAATCAAGATTTTTAAGCATCTTGTTTCATAAAGGGGGGGCGATCATGAGGGCTTCGGGTGCGTATAAAAGCAGGTAGCTATGGTAAGCGACATTAGGACCAAGCCCATAAGAGGAGGGGGAATGCCACAGAGGAAAAAAATGGTTCACCTTCTCCTCCGGAATCCATTATTCTCCCTGAGGCTTATCGTTAGTCCCAAGTACTGTATTTGGCTCACTTACTTAAATGTCCCTCCGCGGCGTCGGGCTCGGCTTCAAATCTCTAGAAGGGAGGTGGGACCCTTAGGACTAAGCCTTGTAAAGGAAGAGGGACTCCGAGGTGGGTGAGCTAATTACAGTCAGAAGTTTGAATGTGTGCGATCACAGTGATCATGAGCCGAAGATAAGGTGAGAGAGCGCGGACGAAGCATCGACTCCCCCGCCTCCACCGTTTCTTCCAAGAACATGAGCGCCGAGAGTGGTATAATTTGAACTGAATTGATTATAATGTTGAGAAAAGCATGCACTCGTCTTCGTAGTCTTGTAATTGCATTTGTACGCCATATATGTACAAGTTGTCGTCAGATCCTGCCACAAAATGTAAAAATAGAATTGATTAAGAAAAGAAATTCCTTTGGTCAAGGGGGTCGGGTCACTCTTTGCCACTTCGCGATTCTACGATCTGCCGTTCTTTCCTGAACTAGAAACGTTCGATCACAAGTGTGACCGCACAATTGCATGGTTGATAGTATCTACTCCACACTCGATTTGTGAACCGAACCGGAAAAGTATGACCTGGCCCCCGCCCTTTCTTGGGTCATTTCTGATTTATTCTTCTCGGGTAGAAGGTACAGTAGGCGACCTCATAAGGCAGGTCTTTCAGGGCAAGCCACGCTTTTTTCAAAACGGTTTTTGCATATTGTAGGGATTGTAGGGAACGCAAAACCATGTTTCATTTTCGCTGAACGGTTTAGCAGTACCAAAAAAGAAGCATAAGGTACTGTTAATGGTTCGATCCCCCGTGGCGACTAAATTTTGCATTTGGGTTGGCGCCTACGGTTGGTGCCAAATCGCGCTAAATGTCAAAATCAGATGTCATATTCATCGTCAGGACCATTTTGAAGCCAACAAGTGGCCGCCAACCTTGATTGCAAAATTTAGTCGCCGCGGGGGATCGAACCATCAAGGGTATCATTCACCACTTTTTTGATACTACTAAAACCGTTCAGCGAAAACGAAACATGGTTTTGTGGTCCATACATGCGTCCCTACAATATGCAAGAAACCGTTTCCAAAAAGCGCGGCTTGCCCTAAAAGACCCCCTTGTCAGAGATTGAAGTTGTAGCAGCAGTCATATGTGCAGTGGAATTGATATTACTGGATGATGAATCATTGCAGTTACCCTGCGATGTAGATATAGTGAAGCACCCGATGGAAAAGAATAGCAAAAGCACGGCTGTCCACTGCAAAATTGTAGCTCCTAAACAAACGCGGGTAGGCTGTCAAAGAGATCTGGTATTCCTTACTTCTCTCCTCAGCATAAATGTCTTTTTAGATTTTCGATGTTCCAAACGTATATGATTACGCTGCGGAAGAAGCTTTAAATGAGCAAGGAAGCAATGTAAGCATTATGGAGCACATACAGTCGATATCTCGGAGTCTGATTGGGCGTGTCACCGGAAATGACGTGGCAGCCACCGCACTTGATAGAAGTTGCGCGGATAAGCTGCTTCCAACACGCTTTGCTGATATCTGGCGGAGTATTTTATCCACACAACATCTATCAAGTGCGGTGGCCGCCACGTCCTTTCTTTCGGGTGACACGCCCAATCAGACTTCGAGATATCGACTGTAGCATCACGAATACTGAAGCAGGCAAGCGTCTTACGTCTTTTAGGTGGCTGGTGTTTCTTCAACGTCCAGCAGTCCTCTATAAGGAATTTGTTCGGCAAGGGTCCAATAAAACGATTTGTCGTTCTGGATTGTACATGGTTCCAGGTGAACATGATGCAGAAGATCCCCCAAATTCAGGGCCAGTCGTCTACTGACTCAGATCATAATGATAAAGGTTTCGTGATACCCATGATCCGTGTTTAGATCTTCCATGCGTCTCATTGACTAACTACCGCACCGCTTTCTGGAGACCTCAGCATAACGTCGGTGATTATGGTTTGGCAACAATCGAAGCTATTTATTATGCTCAACGAGAGTATCACGAGCACGCTACTGGACGGCCGTATGGAGGTAGGAACTAGAAAAAATTCATATAAGTTGTATTAGTTTTGAATACGAGCTGTTCCAGTATACACGCTCACTTTCCGCGTTCCTCTGATCATGGAATTAATTCACTTCTTAGTATCTTTCTTGTTACAGGAGAGTTCGATGACCTGTTGTATTGGTTTTTCCACACTCAACGATATGTGGATAAAAGGCAGGACGAATACCGTAAACGGAAGTTTGACCAAGCTGAAAGCGCAGAAAAACCTGATCGTTCTGTAAGCCACTAAGTTTCATGTTAACCTCAGGTTTGCCAAAGGCACGATGTCAATTTATAATTTTCAAATACTGGGAAAATCACGTTGTAAATCAATGTTCATAAGAGATATTGACATTTCACAGCAGCTGTTTTTTTTCTTCTTGAAGAAATAGTCAAGTCCTTCAGAGCCAAGGTGACCCGCTAGCTAGCGTCATTAAGTCTCCTCGTTTGTGGATTTTTTTCAAGGAGTAGCTCAGGATACCGCACAGAGGATTCTAGAACCTTTCAAGGCTTTTCTTTGTCTACAGTACTGGCTGTTCCATCAAGCTGTTATCAATTGAAGTTGTTTTTTGTTCTGTTACATTTGATAGCATTAATAAATAGTGACTGCGATAGTTCTCTTGAAACAGTTTTCATTAAATATTGCTAGTAATGTTTGAATGGTCATTATGCCTACGAGTCGTGAATTTTGTAAAATATTACGAGGCGTTGACGACGTAAGCAAACCAGCCCTTTTGGCGTTTCGGCTGGGACCGTATGCTGAATGTTGGGGAGGGGATGGGGTCCCCAACGGTCGACGGTTTACTTCAACTCGGTTGGTACGATAGGAGAGTACTGACGCAAGTGGTGCAGCTGGTCCAGCAGCTCGCCAGAAGGGCTGGTTTGCTCACCCTTGGACTAAGCCTTGGAGAGGGGACGGACCCGTCCTCTCTTTAAGGCTTAGTTCTAAGGTAAGCGCCAAATTGTGGCGGTTCTAAGGACCGCGTTGAAGTTGTCCGTCCACCGTCGGGGACACCATCCCCTCCCCAACATTCAGCATACGGTCCCAGCCGATGTGCCAAAAGGGCTGGTTTGCTTACGTCGCGTTGACTATTTAGCTCGCGCAGTATCACATATTTTCGTATGCTTCAGTTTGATCGATTAAGGGTAATCTGTCTCTCCTCTATCTTTCTAATTCTCTAGAAAGGAAAGAGCAGATAACCGATTTGGATATATGAAACTGGATTATGCACATTCTCATGTAGGGTGTGAGCAGGAGGATGAGTTGGGATGGTATGGATCAACATGCAGTGGCACTCAAAAGTATTCGGCCAAATGCTTTTGCGGCCGTAACATTTTCTGTTGGATCAAATTAGTTCAAATTTTGGTATGTTTTGAATACATGCCTCTCTCACAAGGGCATTATATTTGTGCTAAATGGTAGGAGTGAAGAACGAAATTTTTTTTTACTGGAAATTTTCGAGTGCGACCAAATTTCAAGCAATTTCAGTCGCCTTGCAAGAAAATTGCATTCAAAAAATAAACCGCATGTGGGATCATCGCGCAGACGTGATTGTTAGTCAATAACCTTCCAGAGTCGTCAAAATTTTAAGAGGACTTAAGTTTCTTTATCAGTTAAGAAGTCACTATCTCTGGTACGACTTCCTCTATTTTCCTTTCAATTTGACGAGTTTCCCCTTCATATTCTTGGATCTCTTTCTATGCCAAGGGTTTCCTCACCCTTTCCAATAGTCTCCCTATGATGTTTAAGACATGCGTCCTTATTAGTCCAGTCGTCGAAAGCATGCCTGCTGCGAAGCGCTCCTAGGTTAAGGACTGATGTGGGTGGGTTTTTGCTTACTGCTAATCGAGTCAGTATGGAGCAGTGCCATAATGTAATACCAATAACTTTGCAGTAATGCTAGAGTGAGCCTTCAGCAAATCGCGAATCTTATGAAGATGTCCGATATAAGTGATGGAGGGATTGGATGAGTTCACGCGCGCCTGAACTGGATATTCCCGCAAGGCTCTAAGGTCATCCGGAGCAACTTGAGTGAATTCAGGACATTTGACGGCGACCGCAAGAACGCATGTGTGGCATCCTAACAGCAAACGTTTTGATAGGCTGATAGTCAGAGTCGCGACGGTTCGCAGTGTTTCGCTGATTTTCGGATACGACCTGCGATGGATCACAGGAGTACACAAGGCCACACACACAAGGCGCCCGCGAGGCTGTGCTGGAACATTTTCAAATTTCCCGCACACTTCGCGGCGCTACCGGCTCGGCCGTGCTCGCCGCGGCGCCCATAAAACGTGAAAAAGTAGGGGGGGGGGGTGATGGAGGCACTTTCGATTCCTCTGATACGTCGCAGGCTTCGCGCGGATCACAAAAATTGCAAGTGCCCCATTTGAACAATTGAAACACTGAATATGAAACAAGTGGAATCATGAGCAGTCTTCATTAAACCATAACCATCAAGCAGAAGTGACGGCGGGATTGGAGAACAACCTTGCAGTAGGGTCGTCCTATCGTTGGTACTTTTTGCAAAATTTTTACGACCCCCCTCCCCCAACGTGGATTTGATACGACCCCCTTTTCCATACCTCCACCATCTCCATCTTCCATCAAAACCCCGCCCACTTTTTCCTCCAAAAATGCCGTCGAGCGGGGGGGGGGTATATAGTCACTCTGAAACGGTAAATATCTCCGAAAATTTCCTTCTATTTCCACCATTTCAACCCATTTTTAACTAAACTTCGTCCTATACCTCAATCCCCTCGTATAAACTCAACCAGGTACGACCCCCCGTTGGTACTATGTACCAACGTATGGGTTTGAACACCTTGCAGTATTGATGGGGCACCTGTGATTTCCGTGACAAGTCGCGTGTTCGCGCAATTCGCAAAAATCAGGATCGCGGACTCTGACATCAGCCATGCAAAGTATCAACTCATCCGTGAGACAAAGCGCGGGCTCGGTTATGGTGGTCCGTAAGATGTTAGCATTACTTAGAATTCGAAAACATGGTGAATGCGGACCGATCCCATATAGATTCAACAACGCGTCGCGTATCCACACGTATGGCAACCGCGCGATGATGAGTTTGTGTTCTATCGAAAATGGGCCAAAAGTATTGCACCACTACTTCACAAGAGTAGCTGTGACAGCATGGCATACTTTTGACAGAGGAAGAAGTTCAGACGCGAGCCTGAGCATCTCAAAACACTATGGGAAGGAGGTAGGAAACCTTTGGCAAAAAAAACAGTCAAGGGACGAAAAATCAGTCAAAATCGAGGGAATTGTCCCAATAGAAAGTGAACTCATTAATTGATTCCATGCTAGACCCTGTTAGCGTTCAGCAACTCTAGAAGGTTAGCGACAAACTATTTTATCTGTTCAATACTATTATATTTATTTATTTTTTGTGGTTGATTTTCGCACTAAAATTTTTTACAATAATTGCTAATTTACTTGGAATTTGGTCATACTCGGAGTTTCCACTGAAGTAACTTTTTCCACATCGCTGAATCCCATCTCCTTTTTACTGCCGAATTTGGAGTTGTCAGGCTTGAACGCATCGTTTTGTACTCCTTCTGACTAGTAAAGGACGCCATTCGTTACGGGTCCCACTGCCTCCTGCTACAGTGAACCCTTCAATGTGGAGCGGGGAATCCGTGAGCCAGGGGCAGTGTCGCCAGTCTAGGGGGGTGGGGGGTGAGGGCAGACACTTGACATGCGTGAGAAGCTGGAATGTTCGAATTCAACCGCGATCACATGGGATCCCCGCGGGTTAAGGCAGTGGGTCCCGCAACGAATGGCGCCCTATACTAGTCAGTAGGAGTACAAAATGATTACTCTCAAGGCTTGCCTTCACAATATATCAAAATTTGGACTAAATTGATCCAGTAAAAGAACAGTTACGGCCGAAAAAGCATCTGGCAGAATACTTTTGAGCACCACTGCAGGTTACGCGAAGTCTGACCTTTCTTTTATCATATAGCACTTAACTTTAGCTCAGCTTCATACCTGTGAACACATTCAGTGTGAGCCTACAAAAAAACCTCCCTATCGATTTGACAAGACTGAGCGCAAAAAATTCCGGCCATAATACGTGCAAGGAAAGAATAAACATGTAAATAAAAAATATAAGAAATAAAATAGGAATGGAGGAATTCTAGTGTGAACATTGATCACACAGCACTTCTGCAACTGGCCCACTATCGAATCTGAGCTATGCCTCGTCATGTCAGTTAGGGTAACAATCCAATCTATGAAAGAAGCGAATCCGCGCCTTACTTTCTTTCGGTTAATATTACCATGGTGAAAAGAAGTTCATCATGTGACAATGTGAACTCCCAAGGTTTAACTTCTCCATATAACCAAATTCACGCTAGGATCGTAGAGATGGTAGCATTCATACACATTTATCGCGGAGATCAATCTCAAAATATACACTTTGTAACATGGCCTTCTCAAGTAGAGCCAATATGGCGCTAAATTACGAAGGCACATTGTCAAAGAAACATGCGACTATGTCAAACATCATCCGATAGGACAAGCTAAAACAAACAAAACCCAAATATCGGAATTCCGGCGGTAGGTGAATCAAACTGGGTTAGAACTCGGCGTGCACGTTCATTCTTCCCGAGTCGAAAATCGCTTCTATTTGTGCCTTAAATGTACTGCTTCGAAAAACAATTTAAACTAGTCAATGCGATGTGATTTACCTTAGCAAGAGCTCTCGCATGCTCTGGTAGAGTGCGTAGGTCTGAAACTGCTGAAGCAGCAAAAGCACTATCGCCATCCAAAAGTACATCAGCACCACCTTAATTACCGTAGTGATATGTGGGGTACAAAAAAAAACAAGTCTGACGTCCATAATGAGCACAAAAGGATTCTGTACAATTCACAGGACGGCCTTGATGCGGCCAGCAATTAAGTTTTAATGTAGCTATTAGGTAGTTCTTTCAGAGGGCCCGCTTTACAGTTGTATGCAGTTTGATTATTAATTACTAATTTTTACGAAAATCTACCCTAGAGCTCACGTTAGCGTGAATAGCAATTTTTCAACCCACTTTGTTATCCTTTTCAATTCATGCACTACACCAAAATTTCTTCAGAAGGCCATTCAAACAGACGCTTATTGGCAATATACTATGTAGAAAATAAGCTTTTGCAATATAGGCGAATTATGTAAGAAACAGTGATTTTGAAAGAAAACCTTCAGTTCTTCCTTTATCCGAGACCATATATCCTAGACCGGACCTGAAAATTGTAACCATTTGAACATGGATGATACGTGGAGAAGATGATGTAAATCATAGACAGTTTCGTCATCATCATCCGAAGCGCGTGTGGTGTCTCTGCCCTATGAAACATACCCCGACCTGACCATATCATCCAGCTCGCCATAGTCTGACATCTCGTCATCATGCTTCCTTTTCACATGTCTCAATAGCCTAAAGCATCAAGAAATAACTAAAATGGTAGAGCAATGAGCATACTGTGTACGTACTGAGCCCTTTCATCCAGGTAAGGGTCAATCCATGCCATGGCAGGATATAGATCCCATGTACTGTCATCATGTACACCGTTGTCCCTTTGCATACGTAGCCTCCTCTTTTCTCGGACATATCTGTCTCTGATTTTCTTCCACTGTTTGTATATCGAATTAACATCCCCTGGAGCAATTTTTGATCGGTGAAACGCCAAGAAAATCAATGAAGCAAATGAAACTCTTAAAAAAACAAACCAGGATAATTCAAGTGAGCTATAACACTGTTCCAGGCTTGGTTACGACATTCAGAATGTCTATATTTCGGATCACGTATGTCGAACAGGCAGGGATGTGCACGCACTTCTTCTATCAAATTCGTACCGAAAGATGGATCCGTAACCGTCACTTGCTGGAACGGGAAAAATAGTCGTGATCAAGACATAAGTAATAAGCATAAGCAAAATATCACAAACCACATCAGGATGCTCTTTCCTTGCAGGAGATTCAATAGCTGCGCGATCAATCATATGCGGGTCAAGAAACGATAAATGCTTATAGTATTGCCAATTTGACTGGTCTCCTTGATATTTCACTTTTCGCTTCTCCTTTCCATATCTAGAGTAACTTGGCGATGTAAAAGAGACACGAGCGAACAATAATTATGAAGACAACAAGAGCAACAAAATCACTTGTCTCGAAGTTGTTTCCATCTTGCATATAACGTCCGTGAATCGCCATCGAACTGAAGAACTTGTACTAGGCGATTCCAGACCTTAAACACTAGAATAATGAGGTGGTAAAAGCAATTTTTCGAACATCACAAGTACCTTTATCTTATACTCAGTGCTCCTGTATTGTCTATCCGTTGAATCGTACAAACAACGGCTATGTTTGACTGCTTCGATAAGGCGCATATTAAAGCTTGGCTCGGCGATATCTTCGGTCAGGCGATAAGCTGCCGAGCCTCTGAGAAAAAAGAAATATAAGAAAGCGAGAGAAGAATTACCTGAAACATTTTACTCTATGTGGGGGAAGGGCCGCGATCCAATTCGGATGTCATAATGAAACATTTAAATTAGGTTTCATAATTTCTGACTCTTTCTATATTACACCAGATTAGTCCCCCGTCAACCGCCGGGACCTTCCTTTCCTGCGCAAGCTTTCTATCCTCCGCTATGGTCCCTTCCTCCTGTGACACCAACACCTCGTGGAAGTGACGCGTATGCAACACAATGGTGTTTCATACAGTAGAAGGGACACAATCATGATATGACGGTAGATTTTTCGCTTCCCTTCCTCATCCTCCCTTCCTCTCTCCACTGCCCTCCAGCTGCCACTGCAGCACCATGTGGAATGAACGGAAGTGTGCTAAGCAGGTGTTTATATAGCCCTAAGAGTGTTATCACAACTATCCTGCTACAAAACATTGATATCTCAAATCCTGTAAGCTACCCGATTTGTTAGCGGTTTGTTTATCCCATGAGCTTCCTTCTCACTCACTTCATTTTGCGGACGGACACACATACATACACACACACACACACACACATACAGATACACAAACCGACACACAAAGTTAGCGCTTTATAAAATAGAAGGATTTAATCAATTTCAAAAGTGATGATATCATTCATTCTTCACTCTTGAATTGAAAAAGAACACTTTCTTCATTATGTGACGCAACATCTTAGGCCGATGTTAGACTTTGCGAATCGCGCGATTCGCTACTAGCGATTGGCCGATGTCAGACTCTGCGGTTGGAGCGATTCACATTACTCCCATCATGACCAAATCGCTCCAATCGCGCGATTGGAGCGATTTGGTCATGATGGGAGTAATGTGAATCGCGCGACCGTCGCGCGAATCGCGCGATTCACATTTGACCGCGAATCGCTCCATCGCAGAGTTTGACATCGGCCATTCGCTAGCATCCGCGGTCGCGTTGCGGTACCAGCCAATCGCGCGATTCGCAAAGTCTGACATCGGCTTAACAAGATAGTTGAGAGGAATTCACTGGCGTCCTTCACAGACTCATCTGTGAACCCAAGGAGGATTTTAGTGGCGCTACCAAGAACAATTTTCAATGAAATCGTACAAAATGCGCTATGTTCTTTAGCAGGGAGTAGCGATTACACCAAGTATTTTGAAGTGGGTTTGAAACGTTGAGACGTGTATAAAGAAAACATGTGCGAAATCAATTA